CCTATGAGCCCAAGGTGCTTTGGGGGGAGTCTAGATACAAGCCATAATACCAAGTATTTCTTAAATAAAGAAAAATTTAAATATTACAAGTTAGACTTTATTGACATTAAAAATGTCTTCTTATCAAAAGACCCCAATAAATGAGTGAGTGAAAAGTCAAGCCACATACTGTGACAAAATATTCACCAAAAAAAGAACCTGTATCCGAAATATATAGAGCTCCTACAATTCAATATTAATTGAAACATTCATTTTAAAAAACTAGACAAAAACTGGGCCAGGGATTTAGCGCAGTGGTTCCGCTGCCTGCCTCCCAAGTGCGAGGCCCCAAGTTTGATCTCTGGTACAAAAAAAAAAGAAAAGAAAAGAAAAACTAGACAAAAGCTTAAAAAGATACTGGAGAAAAGAAAATATACTCAATCAGCACATAAAAGATTGCTCAAAGGCATTAGTTGTCAAGGAAAGAGACATTAAAATCACATTGAGATGCCAATCAACCAGTAAAGTAGCAAAAATGATAAAATCAGAAAATACCACATCTTGGTGAAAAAGTAAAAGTATCAGAAATCATACATTTTTAGGGGGAATGTAAAATGTTCTACCACTTTGGTTTGACAACCTCTTTCCAACTTAAATATAAGTCTCCTTTGTTCTTAGCAGTCCTTCACCTAGTTATTTTCCCAAGAGAATTGGAAACATATGTGTGCACACACACACCAATTTTTATGACAACTTTATTCACAATAGCCCAATTACAAACAACCCAAATATCCATTGTCAGGACACTGATAAATAAACTGTGGCATATCTACCCAAGTGAATACTGTTCAGTAATGAACATGGAATGAACACCTAATATATTTAATAACATGGGAAAAACTCAGAGATATGATGCAGGAAGAATTGGATAAATTGTGCTTCTTATATGAGTCCACTTACAGGGAATTTCTAGAAGAAGCAAGAATAATTGAAGTTGTAAAATATCAACACAGTAGCTTCCAAATAACACGCAGATGATAATGAGAACAAAGACACTGATTTCACCAATTTAACATTATTGATGACCTACTAAAGCCAATCCAAATACAGCAGGGAGGTAGATTCCTGGCCCCTTGGCTGGTTTTTCATGCTGTTTCTGCCTATGCGATGAAACTTGACTAGAGAGAAGTAGAAAAACCACAGCATGGGAGGCAAGAATTCCACCACCAAGCCACCAATGCCTCTCTTGGCTAGGATGTGATCAGAACAACAGAAAAAGAGTATTCAGGAAGATTAATTCTTGCCCAGAGTTTTGTACTATTTGTTTGAGTGGCTGGTGTTGGCTAAAAAGTAACAAAGCCTTCTAAACCTAGGGTTTTAATAGGCTATTTATAGCAGACAAAACTATAAATTTCAAAATATCTGATTGTATGAGCGAAGTATTAACTTGGAAAAAGGCTCTTTCTGACTACCTAACAGGACCCCCCTCATCAAAAAATCATGTAAGTCTCTTGTTTCTAGTCCTACATCTTCAATTTTTAACCTCAAACTGCTGCCTTATTGGATCTGAAAAGGTGACTTAACCTGTAGGAAAGGTAAGTAAAATTCTAATTCAGGAAAGGAACAAGAAATAGAATCAGCATTAAAATTAGAAGAGGAACTACAAAGCCTGAATCAACATTAATATTATAAAGAAACAAATTTGGGGCTGTGTAGTTAGTCCTTTGTAACAACTGGTTATGTTTCTTGAGTTAAAGGCCAGTCTTTGCAATATTATTGTTACATATAATATGCCTGCTTTTAAATCATAAAGCAGTTGAAGAGATACATGATGGAACCGGGTGTGGTGGCACATGCCTGTAATCCCAGCACTTGGGAGGCTGAGGCAGGAGGATCGCTGTGAGTTCGAGACCAGCCTGGGCTACATAGTGAGTTCCAGGTCATTCTCAACTACATTAGTGAGATCCTGTCTCACAAAAACAACAACAACAAAAAAATAAAAAATAAAATGATAGAAAAAGATTAATAATGCTGGCAATCAATATTTGCTTGGGAGAATCCAATCTACTAAATTAGTATGCTTTTGGTTTATTACCTACATAAGAAATATATTGTTTCAAAGAAATATTGAAGGTTAAAATATTATCATATTGATCTTTTGTTTAACTTGTAGAGGGATTTAATTCTCCTGTTTTCCAGGGGGAATTAAACTGATGAGAGGAACTGGAGAGTAGCTCCAACTCACCCTCTTTGGACCAATTCCTGTTCTTAGGTTTCAAGCTTCCTCTATTTATGGATAGTAGACACATGACTTCCTGTGAAGTGTCTTTATATTCTATCCATAATGAGTATTGGTTTCAGTTCTGTTACCCACACGTGGCTGTTCAATTAATGACTTTGGCCACAATGGCTATTGAAAAAGTTATGCCCCTTTTTGGATGACTTTTTTTTTTTTTTGGTACTAGGGATCAAACTCAGGACCTTGCACTTGCAAGGCAGACAACAGAACCACTGAGCTAAATTCCCAGCCCTTGGATGATTTCTTTATTTTAGCGAGGTGATTCTTATGCCCAAATAAACAAAATATGCTATAAAGAATTATATTTGAGTATTATGGTTTCAAGAAAACTCATTGTAGAAGAGGCTTTGTGTGAGCAGATGTGTAAGGAAGTGGCCAAAAATGGGATCCACCCTTTGCAAACTGCTTTTTGGTGATGAGGTTAGGATTCTGCATTTTGTTGTCATTGTTGTTGTTTGTTTGTTTATTTGTTTGCTTCCTGTACTGGGGATCGAACTCAGAATGTTGGGCTTGCAAGGATACTGAGCGACTGAGCTAGATCCCCAGCCCAAACCACACTTTATTTGCTGGCCTGAATGGTCTCTTCCCACAAGGGTGTTAAAAGGAGGGGCTGGAGGAGGCCTGAGGAACTTGCTGGATCTTGTTGTTTCTTGTTCCCGACAGCATCAGTCCAACAATAACTTTTCACCCTTGCAGGGGGAGTTGCTTCTTGTTTCTTTTCTTTCTTTCTTTCTTTTTTTTTTCTATAATCCCAGAGCAAGCCTCATGACACCCCCTATAGTCACCATCAGCAATCTCAGGCACCTTCTTGTCAGGGGTCTGAGTCCCTGCTCCACCGGCTGCCTGCCCTGAGTCCTAGAACTTCCAGTAACTTCCTGCTCAGAGGTCAGACCCCCAGCCCCAGGGGATTTTTTCATCCAGGTTACCCGAGTTCTAACTCAGCTGTATGTATTTTCCCCGAATCCCAGCCTGATAACTGCTTCCTATAGTTACCATCTCTACGTTATATCACTGCCTCCTTTTGCCTTTTCAGACTTTGAACACCTGTTTAACGTCTCGCATTAATTTTTTTCTGCAGACTTTCTCTTTTTCCTGTTTAGTTCCCAAACAACACAGCACTACCCATCATTTTACTTGATGCGACGGTCTATAGTCAGAATATCATGTGAAACAGCTTTGAATGCCTGAATGAACCCAAAGCAGTACCCTACACACACACACACACACACACACACACACACACACACACGCTGTGAACAAGGGGGATGACAGGTGCCATCATCTATAACTCTTCAATCAGTGGGACATGTTCACCATTTCACTGCTCTTTAGAGCCTTACTGTTCAGTTTCTACTGGAGGAAATTACTAAGGAAAGGAAAGTGTTAAACCTAATTCCGAATGCCTGCCTGGTGCTGCATCTCCCCCCCCCCGTCCCCTTCTACCCACAACCAAGTCTTGTGTTGCTCCTTTAGTAAATAATAAATCTACAGGTGCAAGAACTGTACTTACTTATTTAATTTTTTGTACCAGGGATCAAACTCAGGACCTTGTGCTTGCAAGGCAGGCAGCGGAATCACTGAGCTAAATCCCCAGGCTAAATTTTGTTTCTTATATAAATTTCGTTTCTTGAATTAGTGTGATTTATATCTATGGTGTATCTTGAGTCAACTTTTCTCATTAAAATAGTTGGCAATTTTTAAATTTAAATTTTCACTCAGTGCAAGGGCCTCCAAATATAAAGACTCTAGGTAAATATTTGTGCACAAGGCACAAAATCCAGATGGTGCCAAGACAGACTAAGATTCCTGCTTCTCAGTTTGATTATAAACTTCTCTGCATGGACAGAATTGAGAAAGGGGAACGTGCTGATCGGCTATGTTTTTATTTATTTATGTATTTGTTATCCAGCATTTACTGTTTATCCAAGTATCTTTGTGAAGCAAAATACAGGTATAAGTGAAGCAGGACTGGTAATTTCCCCCCTAAAAATGTTTACATTCCAATTAGGGAAGCGTAGCAGGCACCTCTGCCCAGTATTAGCAGGCTGTAGCGGCACAAGCTTCTTGCCCATGATTCCATAATTCGGCAGTGTTCCATTGGAAATGACAGAGCTTGGCTGGCTCACTCCCCTCTGAATTACCCGTGTGTTCTCTTCGGCAAAGATATAACAAGCTTGTGCCCTCGTTCTGCAGTCCCGCCTGCTCGATACTTCTCAGCAGTGTCAGCCGATGAGTTTCAGGGAGACTTCTCCCTCCTACACACCTCCTTCCCTCTCTCATTTTAGTGATTGAATGGGTGCTCAGAAGCTCAGAATGGGTGAGCATCGGCTCAGAAGCTCCCCCTTCTCACACTGGTAATGGAAAAACCCTGGGCGTCCTGGAGTCCTTTGTGTTTGCTGCCCAGACCAGCTTAGATCAGCCCAAGACTCGGTTTCTCTCGAGTCTGTCTCTGTGTCTCTTTTAATCCCCACTTTCCTATCTCGCCGAAGTCACACTGGCTTTCAGGAGGCCGGGAACACGTCAGGGGTCTCTGGCAACTCCCGCTACCCTTTCCCTGTAGAGAAGTAAATATATTGTTTGTGAAACAAACAAACTATTAAAAGGAATACGTGATAGGGCCCGGGATTTAGCTTCGTGGCACTGTGCCTGCCTGGAAAGTGCAAGGTTCTGAGTTCGAACCCCAGTAACAAAGCAAAACCAAAAGGAATACGCAGCACAGTAGTCCAAACTACTGCGACGTAGGACGCTAACACAGGAGGACAAGAGGAATAACTGGAAGAAGTTGGAAAAATCCAAGAGATCTTCTTGGAGGGACACTTAGAGGAGACGAAAGGCGGAAGGAGAGCCGAGGACGAGGGAGGGTGATGATACGTACGTAGGAAAATGCCAGAATGAAATGCATTATTCCGTATCACTAATATGGACTAATACAGTTCAAATGAGGTTATCTTGGAAAGATCTAAAGAAAACAAAGTGACCAAAGCCATAGGGAAGCTTTATAAACAGAGCAGCCTTAGTTCCCTTTCCCGTCATTGCTCTGTCGTGGTCCCCATTTCTCCCAAACGACGTGGAGATTTTTGTTTAACGTTGAATTTTTATCTAAGGCTGAAAGGGAGCGAAGAGGGAGCGAACGATTTCTCGTGCAGTGAGGACTCATTCCAGCAGTATTTATAAGTCAGTGGACATAAAAGATTGATTAAAGGGCACCCATTCAATCACTAAAATGAGAGAGGGAAGGAGGTGTGTAGGAGGGAGAAGTCTCCCTGAAACTCATCGGCTTGGGGAAGTGAGTCTCGCAAATCTGCCAGGCAGGAAGCTGTCTTTCTCCAAATGAGTTTTCTGAACTGAACTGTGGCCATCTGGTATTTGAGCAAATATAACCTCATTTCAAAATGAAGAAGGAGAATAATGATGAGGTCCAGGAACTTCTTGTCCCCCAGACCTTTAATCACATGTTTAATTTAGCATCCTGGCCATAGTTCTTGAAATTGTAGACAGGGTAACGATGGGGCCATGCAGGGACAATAATGTCTGAAGTCAGAAGGACTATTTTTTTTTTGTTCAGTGCTTAAAAATATTGTTACATTGTCCTCCCTTGCGTTATCAGTATTATTATTATCATTATTATTGTGGAACTGGGGATCAAACTCAGGACCTTGCACTTGCCAGGCAGGCGCAGTGCCTCTGAGCTAAATCTCCAGGCCACTTGCACTATTCTCAGTGAGAAATCTGATCTCTATATCTTTTCCTCTGTAATATAAGATGTATTTGTCCTCTCTGGCTGTTTTTGAGATTTTCCTCTCTATCATTAAATAATCAGTAATTTGACTATGATGTCATTCATTTTCTTCAATTTTTTTGTTTATTGGTTTGAAGGGTTGTTTTATTTTGTTTTTGTGTTTGGGTTTGGGTCTTTGAAATTTTTGGATGTGTGAATTTATCATTTAAGAGGGAAAAATTATATTTCCCCTGTCCTTTTGAATTCTCAGTTGGGGGCTGGGAACTGAGCTCAGTGGTTCCGCTGCTTGCCTCATAGCACTGAGGTCCCAAATTCAATCCCCATACCAAAAAAGAAATAAAGAAAAAAGAAAACCGAAACACATAGATTCAACCACCCTTGTAAAAGAAATACAAATTGAATTCTCAGCTGGGGCCCTTATAACAAAGAACAGATTAACAAGAGAAAAAGATAGATACCTAGGGAAAAATGAGTGACTCAAAATGGTGGCCCAAACAAACAAACAAAAACCAAAAAAAATGGTAGCCCAGGAATTTGGCAAATATACTGTAGCAGTATCTTTAACTATAATAAAAAAAAGGATATAAGTGAGACAAGTTGTGAGAATTTGTCCAGAGAAAGCATGATAAACAAAAGTAACTTTTGTCATGCATATTTAAACCAGTGCCTTCTCCATTGATAGAAATCTTTTGTGATTTAGTCATCTTTCTCTTCCTGGAACAGGAAGGAAGACATCATTACTGCAGATAGCTAAGTTAGTTGGAAATTATTATACGGCAGTTAGACAAAACTGGGCCCTCAGCAGAGGAAGACAATTGAGACACATTCATTGGTCAGCATTATAAAAAGAAAAGAGGTACTATTTCCCCTAGAGATGAATATCAGTAATGGATATTCCAAGTAGACATCAATCTCCCTACCCCACTTCCTTTCTGGAAAGTCCTTGTACACGACTTGTATTCCCATTTGATCCCTATTTAAGCAATATTGCATGGGTAACTGTACTCGTGATTTTATTGGTTGATCATGGTTTTTTCCCACCTCATGCCCACCTTGTAATTTTCCATTGGGTCTTAAGTTTTGTCTTACTTTTTTTTCCCCCTGGTCCTGGGGATTGAACTCAGGACCTTGTGCTTGTTAGGGGAGGCACCAGCTACATCCCCAGCCCTTGTTTCACCTTTTACCCACCTTACCATGTGGCTTTGCCGTATAAAAACCTTTGAAAAGTGGGGTGGGCAGGCAACCCCCTTTCCTTGAATTTCAGATATCTAGAAGGATGGGAGTGTTAACATTTCCCTTGTTTGGATTCTTTTTGCTTATTTGGATACCATTTTTGGTATCCTATGTCATCATTACAAAGAGAATTCCTGTATAAAAGGTAAAACTGCCTATTTTGTTTGCAGAACTTCTATGTTTGCTGTCAAAAATAATCAGCTCAAACCCTTATGCCAAAAAAGGACATATATTAGGGTAGCATATTCTGGCCTCCTAAAATACTTTTCATCAAGTTTGTAGATTTGGGAGTATTATTCCTTCGAAAAAATTTTTCTATGCACCATCTCTCTTTTCAGAGTACACATATATTATACCATTGAAGTTATCCCATACCTCAATGTTGTTTTTTATATTCTTTTTAATCCTGTTTCATTTTGCTGTGTTTTCACATTTGTTCATCTTTTCTGCTATAGCCTATTTTTTTCTTTTTGTTATTATAATTATTGTAATGAATAGTTAATGGATTTCACTATATAAATAATACTTTTAAAAATATTTATTTATTTACTGAGATGGGATCTCACTATGTAGTTCAGGCCGGCTGTGAACTCATTATGCAGTCCAGGCTGGGCTTCAACTGGCAGCAATCCTCCTGCCTCAGCCTCCAGAGTGCCAGGATTAACAGGATTGCAGGCAGGTGCCACAACACCTGACATATATTGTACTTTAATCATCTTCACGTTTCCTCCTCTTACCCAGGCTGCTTCTCTATCTGATCCTCTTCTTAGTCCCTAATAGTCCTTCCACTTTTAGATAGTCTTTTAGTGTTGTTTTTGTTTCCACATTTGAGAGAAAAAGTATAATACTTCTCTTTCCATGTCCGGTTTACTCTGCTTAACATAATATTCCAATTCTACCCATTTTCTTGCGAAAGACAGGATTTCATTCTTTTGTATGACTACGTAATACTCCATTGTGTATAGATGCCCTGTTTTAATCCATTCGTCTGTCGACAAGCACCAGGCTGGTTCTGTGGCGGTCCAGCCGTCACAACACAAACATGCCTGAGTCGGGGAGTGAGGATTGAGAAAGGAAAGAACACTCAAGCCTGAGTGGAGACCAAGAGAAGTCTGGTTTATTTCTGCAGAAACAGCTTTCCTTAAAGGCACAGCAACAGGGAGCACCAAGCAATCATCTCCATCATTTCTTATGCAGAAACCAGATTTTCTGACTCCTACAGATAACACCAGATCTTTGGCTATCTCTTTGAGTTCCTCCCATCGCAGGGTCAAAGAACAAATAAGCTTAACCCACAGAGTCCTTGAAAGGTAACAAATGCTACATGGCTTGTATGGGTACCTTCATTGTAGAGGAAGAAGTTTCCTTTCAAATGTCAAATGCCAGACAGCCATGGCGGGCTCCCACAGGCTCTATATCTTGGCTATTGTCTTAGTTACTTTCTTATTGCTGGGACTGAATACCTGACATTCACAAGTTAGATAAAGAAAGGTTTATTTTAGCTCACAGTTTGTAGAGGTGTCAGTCCCCAGTCAGCTGGCTTCACGGCAAGGCGGCCTGGCAGAGGGGCATCGCAGACAGAAGCAGGCCATGGCCAGGCAGGCAGGAGGCAGGAAGCAGCCCGCCTTCTGTCTTCTCACCCCTTTTATCCCAAGCCTGTTGGTTGGTGCCACCCACACCCAGGTGAGTTCTCTTCAATAAATCCATTGAGCTACACAAGAACTATGGTAAACCAATCAGTGGGCTAATCTAGTGCCACACCCATGATCCAGCCACTCCCAGAAGCCACACCTAGGAGTGTGTGAGACTTTGGGAGGATGTCTAATACAAACCGTGTAGCAGCTCTTGTGAAATAAATGTGGATATACAGCTATCTCCTTTATATGCTGACCTTCCCTTAGATATATACCCAGGAGTGGTATAGGTAGATAACACAGTAGTTCTAGTTTCATTTCTTTGAGTAACTTTTGTACCGTTTTCCATAGTTCCTGTACTATTTTACATTCCCACCAACAGAGGTAAGAGCTACTTTGAATCAGAGTGGTGAGAGTGGTCGAACTTGTCTTGTTCCTGATCTTCACAGGAATGCTTTGTTTTTCCACATTCACTATGATATTGGCTGTGAATTTGTCATATTTAGCCTTTATTATATTGCGGTATGATCCTTCCACACCTTATTTATTCAGCAAAGGATGTTGAATTTTGTTAAAGGATTTCATTTTTTGGTACCGGAAATTGAACGAGAGTCCCTGCGCTTGTAAGTGGCAGAACCACTGAGCTAAATCCCAGGCCCTGTCAAAGGCTTTTTTGCATTTATTGAGATGATCATATAATTTTAATCCTTGGCTGTATTTGTGTGCTAATTACATTTATTGATTTGCATATGTTGAATTATCCTTGTAGTCCCTTCAATAAAATCAGTTTGATCATAGTATTTATTTAAATTCAAATTGCAAGTGATTTTTAAATTTTTGTCTCTATGCTCATTAGTGTTATCACTCTATAATTTTCTTTTTTGGTTTGAGTTTATTTCCAACCGGACTCTGTAGTGTAATTAATCTCCCTGCAGCTTCTTTGGCTGTGCCTTGTGAGTTCGGGCACAGAGCATAACATATCGGAGTCAGAGAGATCCACTGTCTCAAGTCTTGTGAGCACGGGGAAACTTTGGTACTTCAAGCAGATGTGGTGTAGGCAGTAAAGTATATGGGATGTGTCCTCTGTGGTTACTCCTACTATGGGGGTGGTATCAAGAGTTGGGGATTTCCAGTCAATAGTAGCTCTATTACTTGGCAGGGATATGGTGCTGTTCCAGTCCTGTTGAAGGGCGCATAGCTCTTGCCCTCTGGGTGGAGAATGATACAGATCTTGGTTCTTCATAAGGTGGGGGAAGGCTAGAATCGCAGCTCTCTCTCCTTGCAGTTTAACCTTCAGTCTTATCAGCCCTATGCTATCTGACCAGGAGCGTTCACAATCGACAGAGAAGAACAGGATAATGGTGTCGGTAACCACTGGGCTTTTCTGCAGCTCCTGTGGGTTATCTGATCAGGAGTAGGACCTCAGCCTCCCCTTAGCCACGCCCACCTAGGAACAGGTCAACAGTTGGAGTAGAAGTGCCCACGACGGGTCAAGTGGGACTTGGTGGCTGGAGCTGGGCTTAACTCCTCTCAGCTGAACTGGGAGTGTAGCTCAGACACAGAGCACCTGCCTGTTGTACGACAGGCTCTGGGCTCAATCTCCACCGCTGAGGGAGGAGGGAGAAGAAAATGAAGCGGGAAAGTAAAAGCAGAAATAAAATAAAAATGAGAAAAAAAGCAAACATCAAATTAAAACATAAGAATGAAAAATTGAATAAAAACGTAAGATAGATGGAGGGGAAAAGAATGAGTCCAAAATTCCTCCTAGCCACAAGCGCTCAGAAGCACAGCAAGGGTGACTGATCTCAGGCTGTGCAGATCCAGTCCTCTGATCTGCTAAGGTTGGACCTTGCCAGGTATGGGTGTGGGGCCTAGTGGGTCTGGGCTGCAGCTTGCTGAAATTCCTCTCAGCTTTCACCAAAGGAGTTAGGGAAGACTGTGAGCTGTGCCATGAGTTTCTCACTGAACGGGTTCTCAGAAGCTACTTTCTAAATTGACCCCCTCTGAATCTGTGAGCGGCACCTGGAAAGCAGCAGGTGCAGGTATTTCTGGGCTCTTTCTTCTGCATTCTAATCTGCTTTTAACAGCATCCAACATATTGGTTTCCATTTCTAGAATCTGTGCTTGGATGCTCTTATATCTTCCATGTTTAATTGAGCGAAGACTTCTGAGTTCTCTGTCATGCACTCCATGAATAATGAAAGTTTCCTTTCTGACTTTTAGGAATTGGCATTATCCCCACTCCTCTATGAATACTGGGTACTGTTCTACCTAATCATTTTGAGTGGTTCTTTCCCAGACCTGGGGTAGTTGAGTCATTAACATTATGCAGCTAATTTCTTTCTTTCTTTCTTTTTTTGAGACAGGGTCTCACTATGTAGTTGAGACTGACCTGGAACTCACTATGTAGCCCAGGCTGGTCTCAAACTCACAGCGATCCTCCTGCCTCAGCCTCCCGAGTGCTGGGATTACAGGCGTGCGCCACCACACCCAGCATATGATGCTAATTTCTTGAAGGAGGATTCTCTGCAATTCTCTCAGTGGGCACTTTTCTCTTTTCTAGTTCTTTGGCCTGTGACCTCCAACCACTTTGGTCTCTCCATGCTTTCAACTCCATCTCCCCAACTCAGGAACTCCCCTGGGCAATGCTTGAATCCCCTCTTTTCGCACTGCAGCCTGAGGACACTCTCAATGCAGTTAGGGGGGCGATCACAGAGCTCTTGCCTTTTCTTCTCCATCTCTCAGGGATGAGGGGCCCATTGCCTGATGTCCACTATTTTAAAAAGCACCATTTCGTGTACTTTATTTCATTGGTTTGTTTCAAGTGAAGGGATAAATCCACTCTCTGTAACTCCATTTTGGCTGGAAATCTGGTACGCCATTCACAGCATTCTAGTTAGAAACTTCAGTGATGAGTTCGTAAACATTTGTTTTGTTGTAGACTATTAACCATTTACACATGTATTATGCATTTTTTTCATACTTTTTTCTTTTATTGAATTTATTGGTACATTTTAGGTATACAGTACAATTACATTCATTATTGAGATCCTGTACCTTTATATGACAGGTCTTGGTTCTCATTTTTCCCCCTTGTCCCCACCCTCCCTTCACCCCCTCCTCCCCTCCTCATTTACAAACACTTTGTTTCCATTTTTTCATATTTTTTCCCTTATTACCTTTCCCCTACCCTTCCCATTTTCCCTACACCTTTAGCCCTTTTCTTCCTATTTCACATGGTCAGTTATCTCATCAGGATCTTATGTACTATTATAGTTTATTCACACCAGAGAAACTATTTGGTATTTACACATGTGTGACTTATTTATTTCACTTAGGAGTATATCCTCAATATGTATCCATTTTCCTATGAATGAATCTAATTTCTCATTCTTTATGGCTGAGTAGTATTCCATCTCATAGAAAAACCACATCTTCTTTATCCAGTTTCCAACTGATGGGCAGATGGGCTGTTTCCAAGTTTTAGCTGTTACAAACTGTGCTGCTATAAACATGGGTGCGCATATATCACTATGGTATGATTCTTTTAATTCTTTTGGAAAGATACCCAGCAGAGGGATGGCTGGGTCAAAGGGAACCTCCAGTCCCAGCTCTTTGAGGTATCTCCATATTGATTTCCACAGTGGTTGCACCAGTCTGCACTCCCACCAACAATGGAGAAGGATTCCTTTCTCCCCGCAACCCAGCCAACATTGTTATTGACTGATTTCTTGATAGCAGCCATTCTTTGTGGGGTGAGGTGGAATCTATGCATTCTTTAATGTGTGTAAAATACTGTACAACTTTTGCTAAGTTCTAAAAGGGAATAAAAGTTTTTTTCTTCCCTTGGTGTGGAACATGATAAAGGAAGTGGGAAGAGTCTGTGGCCAACCTCTTCCTTCACCTACCTTCCTGATACCCTATCTTGACAAACTCCTTTCTGTCCTTGTCACCATGATGCTGAAGGTATTTCCTGACCCACTAAAATGGTGTTGGCTTGGGTGTCAGGGAGGATCATGAATTTTCACAGGCTACGAGCCGACAAATCATTGTGTCTACTCCCCCCATGAGCAGTACTGGGAGAGACTTTCAGAACAGGGCTGCTCGTTTGCAAGGACTCACACCATCAGGCAGTTCCAAAGTTGGTGGAGGAATTCATGTGAAGAAACTCTGTTGCATATGCAGCTGTTTTTGAAAGCCTAAGCTACACAAATGTTTGACTCCTTCTCCAATCACCCTCCTCCTTTTGATACAGTAATATAAGGACAAAATCAAGATGCAGTGAATTTGCCATTTTAGGAATGATGGAAAACGTATATACAAAAGTAAAGGGTGAAATTGATGCATGAATGGTGAAAAAGCTTAGGAAGGAATCTCAGGGTCACATGGGAAAATTAGAGGAAGGGATCGAGGAATGTATACAAATTAACAAAAAAGGGGAGGTCAGGAAAAGAGGAATCAGGCAAGGTCATCTCAAATTGAGACAATAATGAAGGGAAAATATAATCAGAATAGAATGTCATTAAAATTTAGTCCTTCCCCCTGGACTTTGAAAAATCGTAACCCCCCCAGTCCAGAGCCTCAAACAGAGTGGTGTGTGCTAAGGGATACGAGAACGGAAAAAGCATGCTCCAAAAATTAGGAACGTATTTCCCAGAAAAGCACATGATGAATGTGGTCCGAAAAAGTCAACTTCCTTCCTCTTTTCTAATCGTAGCCTCGGGGCCTCCAGCAGAACCTCCTCAATGTCTCTCACGGAACAGCTTTCACTGCCCTCTCCGGCTTAGAGGGAACATGTGGTTTCTGACGGCTCTGCTCCTTTGGGGTAAGTTGAACTCAGGGAAATGGCTAGAATGATATAGGCTCTGGCTATCAGGAGTTAAGATGTTTTTTGTTTTATTTCCCTTCGATATATTACACTAGAAATTATGAGTATGGAGACAACTGCATCTGGGCTTTGATGGTTTGTTTTTTTGATGCTTACTATAGCGAAAGCATAAAAAGGGGAGTGCAGAGTCAGCATTACACCTGGGACTCTCATGTTACAATAAAGCCCCATTTCGGGTCCACAGAAGAGCACTTGCTTAGAATGTGCCAGTCCCTGGGTTTGATCCTCAGCCCTGAAACAAGAAAAGTCAATCAGTAACCATCAGTTCTGTCAGTACTTGACTTTGGGAAAGGAAGAGAGACTCTCAAGAGAGCTAAGGTATTTCCTCAGAGTCTATATCAGTCGTGCTGCCCGATTCATCATTGTCTCCCGCCAACAAACTGATGTCTCTCTTCTCTGGTCTCTTGCAGTTCCGGTTGGTGGGCAAGTGGGTGAGTGACCTCCAGCCCAACTTCTCTTCTACCACTTTTCTACTTCCAAAGGTTGAGTCCCATCAACCTAAAGAAGAGAGTGTAGGGAGAGGATAGATAGGAGAGAGATTTGTAGATGACGTAAATTCCCACCCCCATTCAGAGTGTGATTTTGACAAAATCTTCAGATTTTCCAAATGAGTCCTGACTGCTGGACTCGTGTATATGCAAGAACAGGAATGGGCCAGAATTGCAGAAATACCGAAGTAGCTCTGCTGGGTTCTCCAACAACCCCCAACCAGTCCCCTTCACAGGAAAACTGAGTTGGTTTTTTTTCCCAGCAGAGAGAGCCAGGAACATAGAGAGATCTTCAAGGGAGGCGTTTCCATTGCAGAAGCCGTGAGGTTCTGGGCTTTACTCACAGAGACAGCACAGCATCAAGGACAAAAGGAAACTGGCTCCAGTCTGTTGTCCCGGCCTAAAATGCTGCTTCTCACCTTAGCAACAGGGAGAACGAAATCAGTAACTGACACCCTCCTCAGGGACCGGGTAGTCACAATACCGAGATTAAGATTTAAGAACATAAAGCTCTCTGCCACAGGGTTTACATGCTCTTAGAGGCTCTCTTTTGTGGTTTCCCACTTGCCTATTTTTTTTTTTCAAATTAATCTAAATATGCGTTTTTTTCTTCCCTTGGCTTTGCACTAAAACTTCCCAATCACTGGGAGCCATTCCCTTTATTCCGCTTGATTTTGTTATTGTTCGTTTCTTGTTTTTATTTCTGTTTTTATACCCAAGCGGACCCCACAAAGGCGGTGATCACCCTGCATCCTCCGTGGGTCCATGTGTTCCAAGAAGAAAATGTCTCCTTGCGTTGTGAGGTGCCCCACTCAGCTGGGAACAATTCCATACAGTGGTTCCTCAATGGTACAGTCATCCAGACCTCGACTCCCAGACACAACATCACCGCAGCGAGCTTCAGGGACAGCGGCGAATACACGTGCCGGATGGGGCTCTCGGCACGAAGTGACCCGGTGCAGCTGGAAGTCCACAGAGGTGAACATGGCATGGCTAGAAATCTCAGGCCTCCTTTGTGCGGCTTCCAGATTGTGTGTACGTACGTGTGTGTGTACAGCTTTCAGCTCTGAGTGCCTAGTAGATGGAGTGGAGTCAATATACCCAAAAAAACATCACATAAGATCCAGTGTACCCCAGCTGGGCCCCGGTGAGTTCCGGTGAGTAACTGGAGAAAAACTCAGATATGAGGATTTTATCACGATTCAAAGTTTTTTATGCCAGGACACAGTAAATAATAAGTCAGGCAAATGTATAACAATGAGTAATGAAATCACCCTAACATCCAGTGACCCTAGTCCTATAAATTACCTTCCACAGAAGCAAAACTATTAGTAGATATTAGTTTTCAAAAAAAAATCTGTGGTTGATAAAATATAGATACACTTTTCATCATTTAAAAAGAAGGTCTGTTGTGTTCGCTTTGGCAGCACATATACTAAAAAGAAGGTCTCTTTATGTCAATAAAGATTTCCTTGGGCTGGGGATCTAGCTCAGTGGTTCTGCCACCTGCCTACCAAGAGCAAAGTCCTGAGTTCAGTCCCCGGTACCAAAGAAAAGAAGAAAAGATTTCCTTTTAAATGTTTGTTGTATGACTACACCATGATTTACTTAGCCATTCTGCTGTTAGTAAACATGTAAGGTGTCCCCATTCTACATTTACAAGCAATACTGACTGCTATAAACATCTATATTATACACACAGTCTACGCAATTCTAATAATATTCTAAATATGAAACCATGTGAGACCTTAATAAATAGAAAGAGATAAACAAACTCACCACCCTCTTAAATCTGTAAGTCATTTCTATTTGTCAAGGGATAGAGGTGCTATATTCTTGGGCAAAATGTTTTTATTATTCAGGACAAAACATGCAAAATATTTAGTTAGTTAAAAGCAAGGAGGGGCTGGGGATTTAGCTCAGCGGTTCCACAGCCTGCTTTGCAAGCACAAGGACCTGAGTTTGATAATGCCAAAGGTATTGCATGGTAGAGGTTGAGTTACACTCATGCAGACTGTCTTGCTTTGAGGAAATGTGGTTTTGCTAAGGAAACATTGAGAATGTCCAGGGATGGCCAGGGGTTGTCCGTGTCCCTTAGCACTTTGAAAATCAGTTCTTAGGATGAAGAGATAAAGGAAAGGTGGAGGCAGCTAACACAACTGTTCCAATAAGAGATGTTGTTTATTTTGGACAGAAGTGCTCCATGGGTCAAATGACCAAAAAAAAAAAAGGTCTTGGCCTGGGAAGAGCCCATTTTTTTCTCGGTGTAAAGTATAACTTACAGACAATGTACACCCCAATGAACTTTCACCGTATAAACAGCACCCAGATCACACAAACAGAACATTTCCAGGGCCCCAGAAACTTATAATTAATTTCTAGTCACCACCCCCAACACTGACTTCTAACACCATAAGTTTTTGTCTATTTTTGAACTTCGTATAAGAGCAGTGCATGGTACAGTACAGGAGGTACTCAAAAATTTTAAGTCTGGCTTCTTTACGTCAGCACTGTAATTGCAACATTCATGCATGTTGTGAAATTGAAGTTAATTGTTTCATTACTCATGATAGTACATGTTTTTCCATTCTACTGATGGACTTGGGTTGTTTTCAGTTTGGGCCTCTTGCAAATAGTACCGCTGGGGTCGCTTTTTGACAGGTTCTTTTGTTATAGGAAAGTAACTCCCGATCTGTTAGACGTGTTGAGGTTGTGGGTGAGGACACCAAAGGAAGGAGTTGAGGACAAAGGAAGTTAAGAATAGAAAAATTATAGGAGAAAGCCCCTCAGATGCAAGAGGGGGACCTGAAAGTGGGTTGCTGCTGAGGCTCTTTGTCTAGTGGATTTTTATACAGAGAAATCACCTTATAGTTTACCTTGGGTTTACCTTTAGGGTTACAAGTTCAGTTACTTAACTAATATTGATTTAATAGAAAGCCAAGGCATGTCCGGGTGTGGTGGTGCACACCTGTAATCCCAGCACTCGAGCTGAGGCAGGATTGTTGTGAGTTTGAGGCCAGCCTGGGCTACATATGAGTTCAAGGCCAGCCTGAACTACACAGAGAAACCTTGTCTCAAAAACTAAAAAGAAAAAAGAAAATAAAGCACGTAGCAAGGGTACATAACATAGAGAAGAACAAAGCATTTTTCTGGAAGGGGTGGGAGTGAGGGTCAGAGAGTTTGGTCATCTGTGTAGTGTTCATTGTGTTGCTTTTATGTGCTTATTATATTGTTTAGGCTTTTTGGACCAAATGGTGTAGTTACAGTACAGCTTTGAGCTGTTGTTTATCTCTGGGGAGGATTGCAGCCTCCCATCATGCCACTGTCTTGGGGCCTAGTTTTCACCCCTTAAGTACAGGCCTGGTTTATCTCATCTCTGTTTTGATTCTATCTTGGGCTTGGCCTCTTTCTTAACTGCCTATCCACCTCTATCTAGTTTAGCTATCTGTAATATTTCCTCCTCTGAAGAGCTATCTCTAACTGTCATTAGGGGGCCCTCGGTAGATATCAGGAATTTTTGTTTTGTTTTGTTTTTGGCAGTAGATAGCTTTAAACCTAGAGGAAACAAAACCAGACTGTTCAGCACACAGGGTCCAAATAAGATTAGGAGAATAATCACCGCTATGGTCAGTAAGAACTTTTGCCAGTCAGAGCCAGTAATTGCCCCTTTTTTCGTACCGGGGATCAAACCTGGAATCTTGTGCTTGCGATGCAGGGGGAGGCACCACTGAGCTGGATCCCCAGCCCAGTAATTGCCTTTTATAAAGAGGATATAGACAGCATCTAAGGGGCCTCTGGATCGGACATAACTTGTTGGAGGTCATGGAGAACCAGAGGGACGTTAGCCAAGGAGTCAGGAGATATATATATCTATATATATCTATATATATCTATATATATCTATACACACACACACACAACATTTGGCTTTTATAATTGTACAGTTTTTGCCCTGTATTTTCCCTAAAATGTTTAGGGTTATCCAATTTTGGAGGACAACCTGCCTCATTAATTTGCCTTTTTATTATGGTGTCATTTAAGGCCTGTTGGGTATAGTTAATGTCTCTATGTGGAATATAATATCTTTTAATCCCAGGGAAGGAACAAAGATAGCAGCTAAATGACCATTCCAGTGAAATCTATTTTGAGATCACTGGGGCTGGATATAGAATAAGTCAGTGTTTTTAACTTACCTACCTTGTAACTAAGCATATCTTAAAGAATATCTCCCTATTTGTCTTGGGGTAACCAAGGCTACAGATGGGTCTCACCAAAAGATGCCATTGGGAGTACACTATCCAAATTTGGGGCAGCTAAATCTAATGTGTTGTAGACCAATCTTTAATCTGCAGTGTTACTATATGTGTATACTAATCGTGTGGGGTAATTCTCATATATTCAACGACATTGGGTCAATGTGAGTAAGTGATGTTTGTGTTCTCAACATAAGGGTGCCTTTTGACTGAGGCGTCTTGCAGGGAGAGTCAGCCACATATAGCCATCCCGCACCTGAAAGTATCTGTCTTCTTATCTGCGGTTATTAGGTTTAATATGAGGCCTTTTGACTTTGGACTGATGAAGGAAGCTCCTCATGACTGTATGTAGGCCTCTGTGGCACTGTTAGAAAAAGCACAATTATGTCCTGGGTCACCAAGGGCAAGCGTATGTACGGGCCATTTTGTCACCTGGTAATGGTGAGCTATTTTATGAATTAACAAGTTTTTTTGTAACTGATCAATATAATCTTGTAGTTTGTTTAAATCCTCTTCTAGGGAAGGAGATGTTTACCAGCGAAGTCTTGAGGTATTTGACAAGGGAAATAGGCCACCAACCCAGCATGATGTTTGTTTTTATGATTTTGTATATACTTTTGTTGTTGTTATACCGGGGATCAAACTTGGATCCCTGTGCTTGCAAAGCAGGCACCAGAACCACTCACCTAAATCTCTGGCCCCGATTTTGTATATTTTTGAGCTTGTATTTAAAAGGAGTTTGAGTTTCACTTTTTAGGCTGTATAAGAATAACTATTAGGAAAGCAAAGCAGCATTTTAGACTGTCTAAAGAGGTGACTTATTTTTAACAGAAGCTCTAAATTTTTTACTGGCTTACAAGACTATGTAGATGCCAAGCTACACACTCTTGGTGCTGACCCTAGCTCCCAGGGCTTAAGTCAGATATGGTGTATCTAGGACTCCAGACCTGCTATTCTGACAGCTGAGGGAGTTGACAAGATCACAGTGTATGGTCCTTTTCAAGTTTGCTCTAGGGAAGGAGATGATGAGGGAAAGACTTTTCCAGTACCAGATCCAGGGTGTATGGGACTTTTTAACTCTTTAGGCTGGGCCATGTTAATTGTTGAAGAGACTGTTGGAATTTAGCTAGTCAAGTGACATATTTTATTAAAGTGTGTGTATGTGTTTAATCAAAGAAAAGATTGTTAATGAGGAAAACATCTTAAAAGGCCCAGTATTTGAGGTGTATTTTAATCAGGGCTAAGGGAAGCAAGTTAGGCCATTGTAGGTGGGTTTCCTAAGCCATTTTGTGAAGGTGTCTCTTAAGAGTCTCATTAAAAAAAAAAAAAAAAGTTTTTGATGATTAGGGTCTCTAAGCACAATGAAGATGATAAAGAATGCCCAATACCTGAGAAACACCCTGGGTAAATGCTCCCTTAGAGGAAGGCACATTGTCACTTTGTAGGCTCTTAAGAAGCCCAAACCAAGGGACAATTTTTGAGACAGAGACCTTTACCACCTCTCGTGCTTTTTGTCTTGTAAATTAAGAGCTTGACCCAGTTGGTGAAAGTGTCCACCCAGACAACCAGGAATTGGATCTCCTTATTTTTCGGGATGTGAGAAAAATCAAGTTGCCAGTGTTTTCTAGGCTATCTACCGTGTCTCTGTGCGTCTGGAAACACAAATTTTTGGTTAAGGGAATTGGGTTTTTTTGACAGTTATGTATTTTTATTACTTATTGTGTGGTTTGAAAGGGACCATTTTTTAGAAATAATTTTGAGGCCATTTGATGAGTTTTATCT